CAATGTCAGAGCAAAAGGAAGCAAGTTTTCTTCCAGGACAACCTTGTACGTGGCTTGATTCATGCGTCCTTCACAAAGGCAAATCTGCCCGATTCCAGCCTTGCTGAAGCATCCCCATATCCTCACCGATCCTCCACCAAATTTCACAGTGAGTGCGAGACGCTGTGGCTTGTAGGCCTCTCCAGGTCTCCGTCTAACCATTAGACGACCAGGTGTAGGGCAAAGCTGAAAATTGGACTCAGAAGATGACCTTACTCCAGTTCTCTACGGTCCAATCCTTATGGTCTTTTGCAAACCTCAGCCTGGCTCTTCTTTGCTTCTCATTGATGAAGGGCTTTTTTCTAGCTTTGCATGACTTCAGCCCTGCCCCTAGGAGCCTGTTTCGAACCGTCCTTGCCGTGCACTTCACCCCAGCTGCCGTTTGCCATTCTTTTTGTAGGTCACTTGATGTCATCCTACGGTTGTTGAGTGATATTCGAATGAATTGGCGGTCATCCCGGTCAGTAGAGAGTCGTTTTCGCCCTCTGCCGGTCTCTAGCTTTGTTGTCCCCAATGTCTGCTGCTTGACCTTGTTCTTATGAACTGCCGTCTTTGAAATGTTAAGGATGGAAGCAATGACGCTCACTGTATCCCTCTGCCAGTAAAGCCAGAACTGAACCCTTCTTTTCCTCACTCAAAACTTTCCTTTTCAACTCTTTTGGCATAGTCAATAGTTATTTTTTGATTAATATTACTTTTGAGTTACTATTAGCACTGTTTTTGCCATCCAGCTGGTCCTATTGCAAGTGGATAGTGATGACCACAGCAGTGGTTTTTATACTTTTCCTCGTTAAATAAGATTTGGTTCATGTGATCACCTAATCAGTACCTATTTAGTAGAATGAGGTGTGCCTGTGTTGGAATTCAACAGACACTGGAATGGAATGGCTGTCATACATGTAGAGATGCTGATTTAAGAAAAATGTACAGTGGTCTCTTAATTTTTTCCAGAGCTGTATATATACAGTTGATGTCGGAAGTTTACATACACTTAGGTTGGAGACATTAAAATTAGTTTTTCAACCACTCCACAAATTTCTTGTTAACAAACTATAGTTTTGGCAAGTCGGTTAGGACATCTACTTCGTGCATGACACAAGTAATTTTTCCAACAATTGTTTACAGACAGATTATTTCACTTATAATTCACTGTAATCACAATTCCAGTGGGTCAAAAGTTTAAATACACTAAATTGACTGTGCCTTTAAACAGCTTGGAAAATTCCAGAAAATGATGTCATGGCTTTAGAAGCTTTTGATAAGCTAATTGACATCATTTGACAAAAAAATTGCTTTTCTTTCGAAAACAAGTACATTTCTAAGTGACCCCAAACTTTTGAACGGTAGTTTAAATTAGCATATTATAATTTTTTGTACTGTTTTTGCTTTGTCGTTTTGGGGTATTGTGTGTAGATTGATGAGGTAAAAAATATAATTTAATCAATTTTAAGAATAAGGCTGTAACGTAACAAAACATGGAAAAAGTCAAGGGCTGTGAATACTTGCCGAATGCACCGCATATAGGAATATAAAATACTTAGGATGTAGGACTATAAAATGTAAATATAAAACTCCCCATGTTAGTGTACTGCTGCAATAACATTGCAACATCCCCTTGAGCCAGAAAACATATGACTCAGACAAAAAACTGTATTCGAAATATGAAATAAATTCAGGTCGCAGTTGTAAATGAGAACTTGTTCTCAACTGGCTTACCTGGTTAAATAAAGGTGAAGTAAAAAATACAAAAATTTAGCAAGAAGAATTGCACGCCTCCCTCCAATCTATCTGGGTTGCAGGCGGCGGCCTAACGATATGGCCTGCTTCCCCCTGAGCACAGGTCAGTAGCAGAAAACAGCTGTGTTACTCCCGGTTGGTCTCTTCAAATCAGCAGCATGGCCCTGATTGGGAACAGCAGTGGCCACAAGTGCAGGGACTCCCTCCTTAACCTGCGCTGTGCACCCACACACACATTATTTTCCCTCCCTATCTCTCTCTAGTTATTTCTCGCTCTCCCCCTCTATCTCTGTACACTTTAACCTGTTCGATGCAAAACAATGCTGTCACCTTTAAACAGGGAACAGTTACAGGTCCACTTCTGCCAAACCTGAATGAGCAATACCTTCAAGTAGGGAGAGGTAGAGCTAGATTAAGATTAAGAGAGAGGCAGAAACAAGGCTAAAGAGCAAGAGCGCGAGAGAGAGAAGAGAGAACGAGAGGGAGCGAGAGAGAGGAGAGCGAGAAGAGAGAGAGGGAGGAAGAGACTGAGTGCCAACACCCGCAGCAGCAGTAACCTCTACTACTCCACCACCCATCCAGCAGCAGCATTCATTTCATCTTAACTGACCAGGCCGGGGCCATTGTCCAGCTCATAATTACAACAGGCCCAGAACAAAGGCATTACAAAGTAACACGTCTGGGGATGAAAGAGGGGAGCACCTCTCCCAGCAGAAGAGCAGGGCCCTTTTAAGTCCGGCCAGGCCTTTGTGTGGCTGGCCGGACCAGAGATGGGCTCTCAGGGCATGGGGGGGAGGGGGGGGGCAGCTGAGCCAGAGGGGTCACTTACTCAGCGCCAAGGGATCAGAGGGACAAGTGGGGAGGAGTGGTAACTCACACCACCCTAGACTGACACATAGACAGGGTGTGTGTGTTTGTGTGTGTGTGTGTGTGTGTGTGTGTGTCCCGGTCCTGGATTAGTGTAAAGGCCCAGTCGCTTACCTTGTTTTTGGGGGTATGGGGGAGAATGGTGTGGGGAGGTACACTTTACACATTACACCCAGCAGACAAAAATAGGATTTTCAGCCCAAAGGTTAGCCCTCAGTAGGCCTAGGGGTGAAGCTTTGCTCTGCTGGTTCTTAAACAGGCCAGATGAAGATGTTTCTCAACAGCATGCTGCCTGTCACAGGGAATGGCTGTTGGGGTGATGGAAAATAAAGAGCAACCCGTTTTTGCCCACACTGACGTGGATGACTGCCTCCAAGTCATTATAGTAATTGTCAATGGCAAAATTAATTGATTTGACTGGATTTTCTTTTCTGATAAAACTTCAATTCAATCATAACTCATCAGGCAGAGTGATATTGGCCTAAAATCTCTAATTTGGGGACATTTTACTGAAAGCCATTTATCACAAAAACACTCTCCTATCCAATCCCTATCCGATTCCCTAGATCAAAATATCTCAAATTAAGAGATTACTTCTGCTGTCGATGCTCATTTCCACAATTGGATTTGCTGTGGTTAGCCTAAGCAAGTTTGCACTGATCATCCGCCAAAATAAAGGTGATGATCGATAAGAGAGGAAAAACTAATCTGTAAATGTGATTAATTGACGTAATCCTGTTTGCACAAATTATCATTTTCAAATAGCACCCTTGGAGGTGATCAATGGGATGCGTCGTCCATTACTGAGGGCGGGACGCCCTCTTTTCCCTGACTCTGCTGGACCCTTTAAATGGCCCTAATAGAGGTTTAGTTAGAAACACTAGTCATCAGAACATACGGAGGGACGCCACTTGATTTCTCTCTTTAGAGCTGTGATGTCTTTGTTTAAAGAACGATGTCTTGGACAGGATGTCAGTCTTTCCTTGGAGCTTGTGTTTTCATGACATAGGTAGAACATTTATCACATAAAGTGTTGAGCACCTATTCTCCTCCACCCTGATGATGATTATTGAATTTCCAACGACAAAATATGTTCATAATTTTAACTCCTCTGTGTGTTGATCATGTGTGCCGGAGGTTGTGTTTCTCCATTCTCCCACTTGTGCAAGTGTGTGTCTCTCGCTCCCGCTCTCTCTTTCTCCTGCTCCACTTGAACGCTTCTATGAGGCCTGTGCCCTGTAGGGCCCTCTCCTCTAAGCCTGACCTGCAGACTCCAGCTCCTTAGTATGCCGACTTGCTGGAGATGTAAACTTTAACTCCAGTCTGCCGTGCCAGATGTTCACCAGAATATGAAATGAGGACTTTAGACATCTGCTTACAATTTGAAATAATTGCAGGTAGAGCATGCAAGGTCAATTGCACCAATTTGATTTTTATGTACAAACCTGCTGTTGCAGTTATGGAGCGTCCATTTTCTCTCTCCTTCTCGTTTTTTTACCCGTACAAGGTTCATATTTTGCACAGGAAACAGGACCCTAATTCCATACAGTGTCAGTTTGGATTTTGGATTCCCTGTCAAAACAAACACTGATTGCCGAGGCTTTGGCTCGACAACTGGGCTGCTTTAACCAGAAGAGCCCCTTGTTCACCGTGTTTGTCTTATTCCCACTTCCAGAGGAGGAAAGTGTTATGCGCCCATTAGCTTAACAGGGTCCTGTTTATGTCCCTGCAACTCAAACCAAATATGGCACGGGTTTTCACTGCTAAATTACACTGCTGGTGGTTATCTTTCAAGTCAGTATTTTCTTTAATCCTAAAGTCAAGCGTATGTCGTTGGTGGTGAAATAGGATGAAATCTTTTCCTCGCTCAAACACAAAACTAACTGAGAACTGAAGTATGATAAACGATAAAACTACATTATAGGAGGACTCTGAGGAAATATTCAGTTTGCATTTTACGTCCATCACTTGTTCCTCTCACCGGGCCCAATGTTTGCTTAGTGAAAGAAAAAGGAGAAGTTAGAGGAGAGGAGAGGAAAAGTGGGCCCTTGGGTTTTTCTTGACGGACCTGCTGCCTGGGCTCAGATAGACAGAAGGAGAGAAAGCCGGACAAAAGGAAGTGTAGCGCTCCAGGCGCTGGGATCAGGTTCACCAGAGCAGGAAAAGCATCATTATGGCCCAGCGGAGCAGTGTTCAGGAACACCATGGGGTCTTATCCCAACTTCTTCACAAATAAACACTTCCACAAAACAGTCCAATTTAAACGTCTGTTGGATGCAGAACGCCCCCCCACCCTTAGTAGCGAATTGAGTAGCAATTGAATAAAAAATACACAAGATGACTGTGATGGGTATCTATCCTCTGATCAGTCTGTATGAGAAGTGTTAGAAAGTGTGTGTGTAGTGTGAGTGTGTAGCAGCGGGGTTGGTGAGTGTGTAGCAGCGGGGTTGGTGAGTGTGTAGCAGCGGGGTTGGTGATTGTGTAGCAGCGGGGTGTGTAACCTGCTCACAACCCAGCTGCCCTGGCTGAGGGCATTGATATTCCAGCTAGGTTGTGACCTTGTGATCTGTCTTGGGGCCAGCCTATTATTAGCTGCTACTGGCCAAACAAAGCACTAATACTCTGGACAAACACACCGCCTCCCCCCTGAGCTCAGATCCTGCCTGGCCGTCAATATAGTCCCCCAACTCCCTATACCAATCCCCCGTCTTCATCAGCTCCCCCAGCCGATGAGCTAGGCACTTTACCCCCCAACCAATTCCCCTTTTAATAATCTCCCCCTCAATGGCCTATTACTTATAAAAGAAATGCTCCACCATTGAGTTGAAAAACTGATTAATCTATAATTAAAGCTGCATTTGGGGAATACGTTTTAATAATATATATATATATATATGTATTATTAGCTTTCGTATATTAATAAGGTTATTACATTCTCAGGATTTTGCTTCTCACTGCTTTAAACTCATTTATTTGTGAACTAAAATATTGATTAAGAATGTACAAAAAATGGCTAATGGATTGTACAGTTTACCTGGAAATTATACATATTATTGAAAGGGTCATGGATAGCCTATGATTAAATAAACTTCAGTTCATGAGGAAGAGGTGTGAAACATTTTTTTTTGCCTTTTTACTGCATGCTAAAAGATATGCATACAACAATGCCATCATTTTGTTGAACAATACGTAAGGTAAAAAACTAAACATTTGAATACACTCAATAATATATATATTTTTTGCTTGAGTAATACATTGGTCAGAACATTTCTTGCCTGCGGCAACTCATTTGAATTTAAATTTCCTTGCCAACACTAACCACTACACCACCATAAAAAAGTATTTACATAGGAATGTGAAGCTAATTGCTGTTTTATGCCAGTTCAATTATATCCATGAATTATTCAGCCTATTTTCATTTCCTGTCTTACTTTGGCTTATAACAGAAAAAAGAATCTGCGCTTTGGACGAATAACAGTTATTGGTTTTGCACTTACTGTACTCTTGGCCTGTGGGTCCTTTACTCTCTCTCCATGCATTGAAAATAGTCCCTCTTGAATTAAATAAACACTTTATAATTAAGGAAACACTTATTAAATCCACTGTACTGGTGGACCTATACTTGAGGAGCTCCTAAACTGCTGTGGATCGTTCATACGGTATTCCACTACCACCTGCACAAAAACAGACCCCACAGCTAAGAACACAGGCCAGCAAACTCACTAAATAAAGACCTACTGAGTATGAATGAGAGTCACACATACTTGATACCTACAGTAGTTTCCCTATCATCACCAGTCCATATCAGAATGCCAAAACACACTCAATACTGGATAGGCGGCCAGTTGCCTACATGGTTGGTGTCAGTGATGGTTATATTGATATTACCAGGGCCATGTTCATTAGGTCACAGCGTAGAAAAGCATTTTGCAACGGAAAACAAAAATAAGATTTTCTTATTGGATAATAACTCCCTGTTTCTCTGCGTTTTGGAGCATTTTCTTCCTTTTGGTGCCTAATGAACACTACCCATGTGCTCCCTTTTGATAGGAGCAAGAGCGGTCCAGATAAACAATGACAATCCCCCATAGTCATCCTATAATGACTATGCTTGGCAGAACTACATGTTCTTGAGGGAATATAGGCTAAAACAAAGAAAAGGAATCCAACAAGAGGCTTTCATCTAGAATAATCCAACTTAATCAAGACTAACGGGACCATCTGGAAATTAAAACGCAAAAAATCAGAGGGAGCGAAATCAAAACTGGAGAACAGTTTTTTTTCACGTGCCCTCGTCTTTCCCCCCTCTTTCGTTACCTTACAACCTTAATGACAACACTGTCAGTTCCAATCACTTCAGCGCAGGTCCAGAATCCATTTTTCAAACTTTATGACAGCTCTAATAGCTTCCACCTGTTCCTGGGATCCGCCTGTTGACTGGCAAGTTCCCAGTGAGATGTGGGGAGGTAGACAAAGACCTCTATTAGGTGCAGCCTGCCTCTGCTGCAGTGAGGTCACTCAGCCATTAAATTAGTTCCAGCCCAGCGGAATGCCTCCACAACCCACAGCATGGTTGGTGGACCAACCACTCACTCTCTCTCAATTGAATTTGCTTTCTCTCGATTTTTATCGCTCTATAACTCTCATGATCCCCTGTCATGGTGCAGGCACTGTGCTCGCCGCGCTGGTGTCTGACAACTTCACTTTCATTTAGACACCACTACTAAACCCGGAATCACCTCGTGGCGCTATGCTGACAAGGGTATCACAGTGCGTATGTCATCGTATGTGTCAATGTTAATTTAACAATACTTGTAAACTGGACATCTTCTCCTGCAACCACCCACACCTGCTAAGCCCCGGATGCTAACTTGAAATATGAGAGCAGCCAACTCGATCTTTTGCGTAAATCATGCATTGATGTCAATGGAGAGTTCTGTGAAACTTCAAGTTCAACTAATTCTTAGGTTAGGATTCGGCCCTTACTTATCGACTACCCCCCTCCCTCCCTGTCCCAGAGCCAGGTGCAGGTAACGTTAACTTACCCCTCTAGTAGGTCCATGGTGGTCGGGGTGACCTGAGCGTAGAGCAGGGTGCGTCCCAGCGTGCGGGTCTCCAGGTGCTGGCTGTAGGTCTGCAGGCTGAACTGCTCCCAACTCTGGGCCTCTGGGGGGTCCGTGACCAAGGCCAGGGTCCCTTTGGGCAGCAGGGGTGGCCCAGCCTGGAGCTCCGCGCTGGGGATCACTTTGAGGAAGGCCTTGGAGGACTTGAGCAGCCCCTCCTTGTCCACCTGGGTGTACAGCCACTTGAGGAAGCTGGCCCTGCGCTCCTGGAGACAGAGGAACACAAGGCCGGTGTGATGAGAGACTGAATAAATCCTCTGTGTTTTCATTACCATTCACTTCTCTCATTTCAATGAAATATATTTATCTTCATATCCTATGGCTCCCATCCTTCCATGAAAACGTATAAAACGACGGACAACTAGGATGCCATCTTTTTCAATGACGATCAACATGACTTTTACAATACGGTCAATCATATTTACAGTATAGAGTTAAAGAGCCGAGCTGAAGTCCAGTCTTAAATAAGATCATCAACGGCTGTGGATAATCAATTACATGGCTTAATTAGGCGCTGGTCCCCAGAGTGGTGAAACATTCTGTTCCAGTCACTTCTCATCCATCAAAAGGGTCACACACTTTATGACTCCCACCAGAAAACATCTCTCCTGTGTTTTAGATCAATGCGTAACACTAAACATGTTGGGATTTGACATGATCCTCATCTAATATGATGCTGTATACGGACGCTACGCAGACAGGGAACGTTTCCATTGCAATCGCCGCAATGCTAGATCATTTGCACCCAGCCAAGAACAGCAAAGTGAATTGTCTGAATTAAAAGTAATATGTTGCTTTGATTAAGCTTATCACACACAGGCTGAAAAATAAAACGTCATTCTTTATAGTAACTACCAGAGATGGTACTAACTAAGTCACAATTTAGCATGTCCTAAGCAAGTCTCAAGTCTTAACCTTCGAGTCAAGTCCCAAGTAATAATGGACACGTCTCAAGTTAAGTCCCAGAGCTCAGGTCAAGTCACTAGTGTTGTGTTTCGAGTCTTCAAATCAATGGTTAAGTCAGGGTTTTCCCAAGGATATTTTAACAAGGTGGTGCTGATTAGTAAGGCGGGCGGAGACTCACAAGATTTTTTGAACACCTGTAAGTGACATTTCCTGCAATCTAGAGCCTTAAAGGGGCAATCTGCAGTTGCTACATCCATTTTTGGAGTTATATGATACGAACCCAAAATATAAGCTTGTTTTACACCAATGTTGGTAAACAAAGTAAATGTAAACAAACACTATATAGCCTCAAAACATGGTTAAAACTATAATTTTGATATCATGGATGGTCAGTCCTTGCTTCCATAGCTCGGTTTATGAATTTGAGAGTGGTTACATTTCCCCAGCCCCTTCCCTCAGCTTTCTAACGTTAACAGGTGCGGGCAGAACCCTTTGTTATTGTTTTAATTGCTGATTGCAGCTTTAAATCAGGGGTGTCAAACGCATTCTGTCTTCAACGAGGTCTGGAGGGCCACACTGAAAATTGGCTATATTTCTTCGCTATATTATATATATTTTTTTATATTCTGCTTTCATTTCGGTGATTAGGCTATTAGCGAGCTGGCCACAGTCAAGAAACTGCATGAATGTACAGTAGGTCCATTATAATTCATTTTAAAGTGTACGGGCATAGTGGCACATTCTTTGGTGAGAACCCTGTTAAGTGTTTTATACTAATTTCTTTTAATTTAAGTTATATTATCAGTTTTCCCTACACTAGGCCTACTTGTACAGTTCATAGGCCTACATAATAAACTTCACAGATGATGAAATAAATGTTTTTTGAATCATTACTAATAGAAAAGGCCATCCAAATGACCATTTACAGCTAGTGTTAATAGTACAGCTAAGGTTTGACTGACATTTTGAAATCTCCAATTAGAATCAAGTGTTGTTTTCCCCCTTTCCACTACATGCACATTGAGGGGGGGAGTGGATTAATAGTAAATTCTGCCACCCCACACCCACAGGAGATATTCGGTTTAGTAAAGAGGATACGTGGTGCTCCTTTCATCTCCTAAAATGAGGTCTTTTTTTTAACAACCTCTCAAGGCACCATCTGCTGCCCAAATGTATGTGATTAGCACCCCCTTGGCAACGAGAGGGGACAGGGATGATGGCCTAATTAGCCCAAATCCATATTTAATGAATACAGTGATGGTTAATCAATTAGAGTCACTGATCTGCATGCCTCAATTATCTGCTTTGTGCCAATCACAAAGGAGAGGGCAGTCACTGGAGACTGCTTGGGCCACTGTTAACAAGTCTGACATCTCTGGGCTTACAGGGATAAGGAGGAGGGAGCTCAGTGGGTTTCTCGATTGAAAGCACTAGTATAACCTGACTAGTACGAACTGAAAACATCTAAGTAATATTCAAGACAAAGAAAAAAAATGTTTTTGGTGCATGATTGGTTTGTTAGATTAGAGAAAGCATAGCAGGGAAATCAGAGAGGGATGAGAGAGTGAGGAGAGAGAGGGAGAGAAGAAGTGAGCAGTAGAGGGGAAAAAGGAAATAAACGCTCCCTTGATGAATCTGTCTGAGCAGAGTTCCTCTGAGCAAGCCCATGCCATGTGACGGGCTAGAGCAAAGGAACCTGGGTAATAATGATACCACCAGGGTCACTACAAATTCCAGAGGTTGCACTACCAGATGCACACAGTCCATCCGCTCTAGCCAAGACAAGGTGCACAGAGTACTCTATTTCTGTGGTACACTATCTATTCCCCTCCAACTCCTCAAAGCACCTTCCATTTTCCAAGAACAATCTGGAAGCAATCCTGCATGCCCTCGCTTTCATCATCCTGGTGTTTGTTTTAACAAAGTTGCTGGGGCAGTGGGGTGAAGAAGTCACAGCCCAGTCCAAACACACCAAACAGTCATAATAACACTAGATTTTGGGCCTTTTTGGAAACACTTCTCCATTGTCGGTCAGAGGGAAGCCAACTAGGGCCAAGTGAATGGATAAATAAGTAACTTAACAGAATCGTTCAAGTGGGCCCATCAGATGTGATTTGCCAAGCGGAGGGCAACGGGTGTGTGACACACCTCTCCTGTCCAGGGTACATTCTGTGGTCTTTATTTGGCATTATGAGATAATGCATTCGTTTTGGGGTTCACAAATCGTGGTCAAAGTGAATTTTATTTGGAGGTACAACTGTACTGGGGTATTACGTTCTTTGATTTATTTTTCAGTAAGTGTATACTTTGATAAAGAATACTCAAGAACATTAATCAAACTGACTGATTATTTGCTCTTTGCTAAGACGAATCATCATAACAAACACTATGAAATACCAGAGAGATGGGGATGTAGTACTCATAAGGAACAAAATAGAGATGGTCTGCCACCTAGTGGAGAGTTATTTCACCACAGGTGCATAGGGAAACTTCTGCTGTCATTTGTATCCCCCTGCCAAGAAACGTATCTTTCAAAGTAATGGGGTACAACAGAGTAGAGTACCATAACACCTGGGCTGCAGTCTTGAGACCCTGGCTGAAATAATGACATTTTCACAATCCTTTCCCAATTCAAGTGCTGCATTTCAGCACTTCTGCCTATCTGACAGCCCTACTCTAGACTCTATAGCCCTTGTGGGTTTAACTAGACTACCCATAACTGCTAAGGCTGAAGCCTCCAGAAACAGCTGGCTGTCTGTGGCACTGAGGTATAAATAACTGGAGACTGCATCTAAGATGTCCGACCGTAGTTTTCAACGTAATCTACTCACGTTCGCATACGCCAATTCATGGACTGTCTATGTCCGGGTTGCATACGGTTTACGCGGCCCAACATCACGTGCACTAGCACTCAGTGCGCACAGTGAGTAGTGCGAGCAGCGACAACTTCATCACATCATCCAAAAACATGGCAGACAGCCGATTAATATAAAATGTTAATATCTTAGGCTGTGAGTGATGGAGAAAATAAAATAAATAATCGGACTCAGCAACAACTATTTGAATAATTAAATGGATGTTTTGTGCACAAAGGTGATGACTAAAGTGTCTTATTAGGAATTTTCAAATCTGACTTCTCTATGTGGCTGTCTATGGAAATTGTTTTTCTTGGCCAGGCGTCAATTAAACTGCAGTACCAAAGCTAAACTGTAGGAGCAGTTGAAACCTTGCTTCTAAACCGGAACCCTGGCCTCTTGGTGTGTGGTCCTGAGGCGTTTCACTTCCTGCTCTCAGAGGCCCGTTAGGCCAATCAGTGGCGAGAGCCTGGCAGGGCCCTCTGAGATCCCTCTGAAGTGGGCGAGTAAACGGTCAGTGATCCATCTCAAACACTGATTAACTCCCAGAGCTAATTCCCCACATACCACAGCAGAGCACAGCACTTTGCTGGCGGGCCTTTTCGAAGAGTCAAGGGCCTCATCATCATCAAACACAATGGAGGAATGAAGCCTTAGCCTGCCAGGCAGCAAGTTGACTGGGAGTAATATCCTCAGCCTGCCAGGCAGCGACTGGGTGTACACAGACTGGTGGCACATTTTGAACTGTTACTTCACTGATTTCACATAGAGAAATTGCATTGTGCACTGACCAATAAGGTGTGTATGTGTGTGACTGTGCGCTACCTCTTACATTCATGTCAGGCCTTTTCCTGGCCACACACAATCCATCCATCCAGCCACACAGACCCAGACCAACACACACACACACCCCAGACCATAATTGCCTGGGTAAATGTTTATTTTGGCAGCCCTAGTCCAGACCCGCCCCAGACAGGTCTGAACATGTGGAAACCATTTTGATTCTTAATACATGTAAATGCTTGTCCAATATATGCAACTGGCTTAGAGCAGGTTTATGTGTCCAGAGAGGCAGTCAAAATAAGTGAGGGCAGGGCTCCACAAGAACACAAACAGTAGAGCTAGAACAGACCTTTGATCAGCAGTCAGCCTCATGGCATATCTAGTTGAGAGACTGTGATGAGCTAACATTGTTAAAGCAGTAGGAGATTTTTTTAACCAACTTGAGGATGGGAGTAATGTGAGAACTCTAACAGACAAGAGAGTTGAGGGTTTCCATACCCAGTTGTCTGGATATTGTGGGGCAGGCCAGCCAGCCATTTTGACACCACAGGCCAATGTAGAAATATATAATTTGTGGCTGATCAACTATAGGGTGGGGAAGCCTAGGTCACGTTTAGTTGGGTGCATACACTATATGCAACACAATTACTGATGCAGACAGAAATACCATTAATAGAGCAGTCATGACTCCTTACTCTATATGTCAGAAGCATGTCTGTTCTACACAATAGATTTCTGAATAGATATCTGAACATTCCAAAAACCTTGTGCCTACTGAACACGGCCTTGGCTGGGAGAGGCCTTAGCTTTAACGGAAAGGTAGCAGAGGAGGAGGTACGTACCTCAGAGGTGGCGAGGAGGTAGACAGGGCTGGCGGGCGTGGCCTGACTCAACTCACAGCTCAAGCCCAGGGAGGTGAAGATCTCTGTCAGGACCTCGTAGCGCCGCGCATTGCTCATCTTCAGCTCGTCAAAACCCTGAGACGACACAATATCCTCAGAGTTGGGAGCCGTCTCCAGGTGCACCTGAGGTCAGTGGTGAGAGGGCAAAGGTCAGCTGAAAAGTCAACTGTTTGTAAAATGCACATATCAACATGAATGACTACTGCATATTAGTTGCTAAATAAGTTAGTTAACATGAACATGAATACTTTCCATTTATAGAGCGCTTCATTTTACATACAAATCTAGTGCTTTACATGTGAAAGGACATATGACTGAGAGACAGTCGTGTGCAACCCTTAACCTGACACAGCACGGCCTCCCCTCCGTCCTCTCCACGCGTCACCCTGACGATGACCATGTCCTTGTCCCCACCATCCCCGTCCCACTTCAGCTCCCCCCAGAATTCCGTCTCTCCAGGGTCCCCACCACCACCACTCTGGGGCTCCCTAACAAACACACTCCCGCTGGCCAGCACGCTCAGATCCAGCTCTGTGGTATCAGCCTTGGTGAAGCTCAGCCTGCAGATCTGGCTCCTCCTACTCTTCCTGGGCACCAGGGCCAGCCCCGTGGGGCAGAGGGTGGAGGAGAGTCCCAGGATCCTGCCACCCTGCTCCAGGTATGCGAGGAAACGGGCCTGGAGCTGGGGGGTAAGGGGTTCGTCTGAGGCCAGCACTAGCAGGGCAGCACTCCCCAGCCAGGGTTCACTGAGGGCCTGCTGGGGCCTCAGGGGGTACACCGTGTAGCTGTCCATGTCGATGCACTCGCCCAGCAGCGAATGCACCCTCTGGAACCTCTCCAGGCAGCCGCCCGTGAACACCAGCACGTTGGGGGGCTTCCCGGTAACGTTGACCCGCCGGCTTTGACCAACAAAGCTCTCTGCCTCATCCTCCTCGAACTCGTCCAGAGTCTCGTCCCCGCTGTCCGTGCACGTGGCGTAGTCGTCGGGAAGGTCAGGGATGTTGTCGACCGAGGCGTACTTGACGGAGAGGATGGTACTGTTCTCCAGCTCCTGGCACTCGTGGCAGCTGGACAGGTGGAGGTGGTGGCCGTGGCCCTCCATGTGCTGGTGGTTGATGCCCAGGGAGATGTCCCCGCTGTCCACCCCAGGGCTGGCTCCTCGTAGGGGCTCTGAGCCTCGTCTCTCCCCTAAAGCCCTCTGGATCTCCGGCGGTAGGAGCAGGCTGCCCTTCCTGTGTTGTGTTAGCTTGGGGTCGCCTCTGACAGAGAGTACCTCCCACTCGCAGGGAGAAGGCTCAGAGAGGATGATCTCAGTCTGTTTTTTGAGGGAGAGGGAAGTGATGTGCTTTTCCGACTTTCCCTTCTCCAAAAGTTCTTTGAATGCAGATTCTCGGAGCAGGACAGCTAGGGAAATGAGTACAAAGGGCAATATTTGAATTGCAAAATGTGTCCCTCTCTCCGTTTTAAGCAATGTGAAAAAATTTCACAATAGATTTGGATAATGTTTTTGGATATAGCCTAGCTAAATGAAGCACTGAGATGGCATTGGCCAACAACTGAAACGTATCTGCAGTTACTGAAAAAAATGGCCTCTTCAGAAATAGCCTTTAAATATTTAAAATCCTAAATTTACAATAAAGTTGAGGATAGGTATAAAACTGGATACACACTCCATGAGATGAGAAACCATTGACATTTAAGCAGTCAGGACACTCACAGACTATCTTTGAAGGCACTAGTCCATTGTCCAGCTGAAGGCGATCTTCCATAAACGCCACCCCAAGGCGGCTGAAGTTGTCAACGCTGGCCTGAGCCACGGCCCTGAACGGCTGCACTGGGCTACAGGCCAGAGGGAGACAGTAGTCTGACCACTTCAGCACCTAGACAACACAGCATATTACACAGGTCAGCAGGATTTAACCGTTAGTGGACAGTGGAAGGAAAAGAGGATCATATCAGACTGTTTTCTAGATTAGTTGGGATTGGGATTAGTTCAACAACCAACAGAACATAGATAATGCACTGCTTAACCACTTTTGAGAAACTACTGCTGCCTGAGTAAAATAACACTTTGTGTTTAAAGGGACCTTTAAATGGCTGAAGGGGAATAAAGGATCCCTACTTCCTCTCCAACCAAAACATTTTGGCTCCAGGATCTTAACATGGCATCTCAAGTGTCAGTTGATCCTCTGTCTGCCATATTAAAGACCTGCTTTTTAAAGCATGACTTCCAAGAGGCCAGAGGCTTCCTCTTTCCTTGAGCCTTTTGAAGAAAAATAGCCCAATTGAACAGAGTGGGGTTTCACTGTCCAGTGCAGTCCCACCCAGACGTGAGGAACAATGGAGAGGAGGTAAACACTCAGAAGGAAAGAAAGTGACTTGTCTAAGGTTCCAATTCTCTGTTCAGTCAGCAAAAGAGAGCATTCCCCCCGAACTCTAAAAGGCATAGGCATACAAGCATAGTCTCGAAAACCCGACCCTAGGCAACAGTGACTAGAGCAGGGGTCTCCAACAGGTCGATCGTAAGCTACCAGTAGCTCACAGCCCACCTATGAGTAGCTCGCCAAACAATTCAACCGCAAACTGTCACAAACAAATCTCACAAGTATCAGACACAGCAAGCTCCCAGCTACTATCTAATCAACGCATCATTGACATTATCCCACCCCTGGTTAAGCACCATTGGCTTAAAAAGCCAAACCTAACACAATATCTGCCAATTAATTTCCAGCAATATTGCCGTCTGTCTGTTTGGTGGGCGCGTTTGTCTATCACTGTGTGTAGCCAGTTGATGTGATAACGTCTTGTGGGTTGACAGAAATACTTTCCTCAAAACTTTCTCAATTAAATGTTAACTGCAAAGTAGGCTTACCCGGCAGAAGTATATCATCAGTAAGTATATCATTTGTATCTATTATTTGCAAACTTTGCTATGAAATGAGCAGCAGCACATTAGACTGCACATTCCTCACTGGCTATACTGAACAAAAATATAAATGCAACATGTAAAGTGTTGGTCCCATGTTTCATGAGCTGAAATAAAAGATCCAGGAAATGTTCCATAAGCTTATTTCTCTCAAATGTTGTGCACAAATTTGTTTACATCCCTGTTAGTGAGCATTTCTCCTTTGCCAAGATAATCCATCCACCTGACAGGTGTGGCATATCAAGAAGCTGATTAAACAGCATGGTCATTACACAGGTGCACCTTGTGCTGGGGACAAAAGGGACACTAAAATGTGCAGTTTTGTTACACAATGCCACAGATGTCTCAAGTATTGAGTGAGCATGCAATTGGCTTGCTGACTGCAGGTATGTCCAACAGAGCTGTTGCCAGAGATTTTAATGTTAATTTCTCTACCATAAGCCACCTCCAACGTCATTTTAGAGAATTTGGCAATATGTCCAACCGGCCTCACAACCGCAGACCACGTGTAACCACGGCAGCCCAGGACCTCCACATCCGGCTTCTTCACCTGCGGGATCGTCCGAGACCAGGCACCCGGACAGCTGATGAAATTGTGGGTTTGCACAACCGAAGAATTTCTGCACAAACTGTCAGAAACCGTCTCAGGGAAGCTCATCTGCGTGCTGGTCATCCTCACCAGGGTCTTGACCTGACTGTAGTTCGGCGTCGTAACCGACTTCAGTGGGCAAATGCTCACCTTCTATGGCCACTGGCACAGAAGTGTGCTCTTCACGGATGAATCACAGTTTCAACTGTACCGGGCAGATGGCAGATAGCGTGTATGGAGTCTTGTGGGCGAGCGCTTTGCTGATGTCAATGTTGTGAACAGAGTGCCCCATTTCATTTTATTGATGGCAATTTGAATGCACAGAGATACCATGATGAGATCCTGAGGCCCATTGTCGTGCCATTCATCCGCCACCATCACCTCATGTTTCAGCATGATCATGCACGGCCCCATGTCGCAAAGATATGTACACAATTCCTGGAAGCTGAAAATGTCTCAGTTCTTCCATGGCCTGTATACTCACCAGACATGTCACCCATTGAGCATGTCTGGGATGCTCTGGATCGACGTGTACGAGTGTGTTCCAGTTCCCGCCAACATCCAGCAACTTCGCACAGCCGTTGAAGAGGAGTGGGACAACATTCCACAGGCCACAATCAACAGCCTGTTCACACTGCATGAGGCAAATGGTGGTCACACCAGATACTGACTGGTTTTCTGATCCACGCCCCTACCTTTTTTAAAAGGTATCTATGACCTCTCCCCACCCTTTCAATTGTTGCATGTTAGATTTATATTTTTGTTCAGTGTACGTTTTGTCACATATATGATTGACAGTCTACAAAAACGGACATTTTCTTTGCGTCTCGATAAATATACTTGTGATCCATACTTTTTTCTTTTCTGTAGTGTGATGATGAGCCTGGCTGCCCACTCTTTGTCCTGACGTAGCCTCTATGATGAAAGAAATGTTCTCTATCCGCGGGCCACAACTCAGAGAGGACCCCCACAAAAGAGTCCACTTGCTGAGGTCATCACATGCCTAGGAACAATAATACAGACAACATATACACTGATCTACAGTATGGACACTGATGGTATAGATAGATATTAAAGCATGTTTTAGAAAGTTAGTATGATCATTAGACATTAGTAAGACTATGACATCTATGAAACTATGTAGACTGACTGACATATAATGTAAGTTAATGTGCACCAAAAAGATCTGACAAGTTCACGCCAGAATTGACTGGATTTTGACGGGTTAGCTATTTACCTCAATCATAGAGCATGCAAAAACTGATAGCTAATAATGGAGGAGGCCTATTTCACATGGTCGGGCTCTGAATGTAACAGAGCAGCAGACTGCGTACCGTCACGCCTGTCATTTAGCTGGCAAGCTGGGCTTGCCCATTCAGCTTATGTTTTTGACAAGTGAAGGCCTCGGATGCTAGCTAAGCTAGCTAACATAACTAGCTAGCTATATCAAACAAACGTGTCACCTGAGGTTCGGTTATGTAAATAGCCTTGTCGCCCAACTTGAGAAAAACGTCCTCCTCAGGCAGAGGTGGACTGAGCTGCTTATTGACACTTTGCTGGCAGGTTGGTTGTCCTTTCTGAAGTCGAGGCTTCCCGAGTGGATTCAAGGCACAGAATGTGAAGCTAACGTTACTGGCCCTGGTTTTGCTCCCCCCGCACAATCTGTGCAGGGTGCTCCGAATAACTACTGTGTAGCACTTTTGAAAGCGCACCCAAAGGTAGACGTAGCACAACGTTATTAGCATTTTCTTTACATTTGGATAGCCGTTTTTGAGCCCATATGGTATGGCCTCTCCTCTGCACAGAGCTCAGATTCGACCTGACCGTTGCTTCCCTGTTGTTGACAGAATGGCTCTTCCCACTACAAATCGTCATTACGCATGCTCGCAGTCAGTGCAGACGAGTGGCACAGTTTCTAAACCCAGAGGCGCATCATCGCGAGACTTCCGGGAACGCTTTCGAAACAGACTGAAACAGACCAGCCCGGGGTTTGGGGTTTGAGAAGTCAATGAGAGAAGTGAACAATTCTTCTTTAGTTATTAATTTTCTCGAAAATTAAAGGAATAACCTAGATTCAAGCCTATGTCTTAAGTAGATTAACGTATTATTACTCCAACCACGTGAAAAATACAAACTGATACGTTTTCAGTTTCGTCAAAAACAACTTTATATCGAAGGGGTGCCTTTGCGTTGACGGCTTGCACATGCGCAGTTTGGCGGGAGACGACCGTTACACCCGATGACGTGTCCCTACGCATGAGCTTAGCTAGGCAACGTCGCCATGAACTCGCTTGCAAGTGTGATCAGGGATGTCTATTGGAGATGCAGTTTTAGCCTATCTTCCTACTGTACTGTCTTTGCTAGTGGTGCGCGGGTCTGCTGTTTGTTCACCCGCAACCGCCCGACTAGGCCTATGTGATAAAGTGAAAATCTGAGGCCCACAACAGACCCACCCACTAATATAGAAAATGTGCTGTAGGCTACAGTCAGAGACAGCGGAAATATTATTTTGACAGGGGGTGCATTTTTTTGGTTGCTTGATATAGATATGTTTTTGCTTATACATTTCAAACATTTTGGCAGGCTATTTGTTAGTCAACTTGTCTATAATTGTACTGAACAAAAATATAAATTCAACATGCAACAATTTCAAAGATTTTACTGTTACAGTTCATATCAGGAAATTAGTCAATTGAAATAAATTCATTAGGCCCTAATCTATGGATTTCACATGACTGGGAATACAGATATGCATATGTTGATCACAGATACAGTGCATTCGGAAAGTATTCAGACCCCTTGACTTTTTCCGAATTTTGTAAAGTTTTTTCCCCCTCATCAATCTATACACAATACTCCATAATGACAAAGCAAAAACAGGTTTTTAGACATTTTTGCAAATATCACATTTACATAAGTATTCAGACCATTTACTTTGTTGAAGCACCTTTGGCAGCAATTACAGCCTCGAGTCTTCTTGGGTATGACACTACAAGCTTGACACACCTGTATTTGGGGAGTTTCTCCCACTCTTCTCTGTAGATCCTTTCAAGCTCTGTCAGGTTGGCTAGGGAGCGTTGCTGCACAGCTATTTTCAGGTCTCTCCAGAGATGTTCTCCCAAGTGGCGCAGTGGTCTAAGGCACTGCATCACAGTGCTAGCTGTGCCACTAGAGATCCTGGTTCGAATCCAGGCTCTGTCGTAGCTGGCCGCGACCAGGAGACCCATGGGGCGGCGCACAATTCGTCCAGGGTAGGGGAGGGAATGGCCGGCAGAGATGTAGCTCAGTTGGTAGAGCATGGCGTTTGCAACGCCAGGGTTGTGGGTTCGATTCCCACGGGGGGCCAGTATAAAAAATGATGTATGCATTCACTAACTGTAAGTCGCTCTGGATAAGAGTGTCGACTAAAATGTTTTAAAAAATTCTCGATCAGGTTCAGGTCCGGGCTCTGGCTGGGCCACTCAAGGACATTCAGAGACTTGTCCCGAAGCCACTCTTCCATTATCTTGGCTGTGTGCTTAGGGTCGTTGTCCTGTTAGAAGGTGACCCTTCACCCCAGTCTGAGGTCGTGAGAACTCTGGAGCAGGTTTTCATCAAGGATCTCTCTGTACTTTGCTCCGTTCATCTTTCCCTCGATCCTGACTAGTCTCCCAGTCCCTGCCGCTGAAAAACATCCCCACAGCATGATGCTGCCACCCCCATGCTTCACCGTAGGGATGTGTGACACTTGGCATTCAGGCCAAAGAGTTCAATCTTTGTTTCATCAGACCAGAAAATCTTGTTTCTCATGGTCTGAGAGTCCTTTAGCTGCCTTTTGGCAAACTCCAAGCAGGCTGTCATGTGCCTTTTACTGAGGAGTGGCTTTTGTCTGGCCATTCTACCATAAAGGCCTGATTGGTGGAGTGTTGCAGAGATGGTTGTCCTTCTGGAAGATTCTCCCATCTCCACAGAGGAACTCTGGAGCTCTGTGGAGTGACCATCGGGTTCTTGGTCACCTCCCTGACCAAGGCCCTTCTCCCCCGATTGCTCAATTTGCTCTTGGAAGAGTGTTGGTGATTCCAAACTTCTTCCATTTAAGAATGATGGAGCCCACTGTGTTCTTGGGGACATTCAATGCTGCAGACATTTTTTGGTACACTTCCCCAGATCTGTGCCTCGACACAATCCTGTCTCAGAGCTCTACGGACAATTCCTTCGAATGGTTTTTGCTCTGACAGGCACTGTCAACTGTGGGACCTTTTAGTTTTTTTTATACATTTGCAAACATTTCTATAAAACCTGTTTTCACTTTGTCATTATGGGGTATTGTGTGCAAATTGATGAGGAAATGTTTTTATTTAATACATTTTAGAATAAGGCTGTAACGTAACAAAATGTGGAAAAAGGGAAGGGGTCTGAATACTTTCTGAATGCACTCTACCTTTAAAAAAAAGTAGGGGCGTGGATCAGAAAACCAGTCAGTATCTGGTGTGACCACCATTTGTCTCATGCAGCGTGACATATCTCCTTCGCATAGAGTTGATCAGGCTGTTGATTGTGGCCTGTGGAATGTTGTCCCACTCCTCTTCAACGGCTGTATGAAGTTGCTGGATATTGGCGGGAACTGGAACACGCTGTCGTACACGTTGATCCAGTGCATTCCAAACATGCTCAATGTGTGACATGTCTGGTGAGTATGCATGCCATGGAAGAACTGGGACATTTTCAGCTCCCAGGAATTGTGTACAGATCCTCGCGACATGGGGCCATGCATTATCATGCTGAAACATGAGGTGATGGCAGCGGGTGAATGGCATGACAATGGGCCCCAGGATCTCATCACGGTATCACTGTGTATTCAAATTGCCATCAATAAAATGAAATTGTGTTTGTTTTCCGTAGCTTATGCCTGCCCATACCATAACCCCACCGCCACCATGGGGCACTCTGTTGATAACGTTGACGTCAGCAAACCGCTCACCCACACGACGTCATACATGTGGTCTGCGGTTGTGAGGCCAGTTGGACGTGTCACGAGATGGATTGGTAGATAAGTGTATAAGTGGGTGTAGTCTGTCAGTGACCAGGAGTGGTCTTGTTTTGATTAATTGTATTTCTGAAGAACAGAGGAAGATTGCAGTCAGCCTCAAAATAATCCGGACAACAGAAGTTTTGTGTTTTGAACTTCGGAGTAGAGCCCCCGTCAAAGGAGTCATCTCAGGGGTGATGACAGATGTTCAGGTTGAATCCCTGAAGAGAATTCCTGGTGTGGTTGGTGCCCGGTGTCTGACCCACTGGGTGAATGGAGAAAAATAAGAAAGTTTGTCAGTCCTGATGTTTATTGATCAAGAGCAAATACCTCTGTAAGAGCTTTTGTCCCCAAACCATTGCAGTGTAAGAATTGTAAAGGATTTGGCCATGTTTCAAGTGTGTGCAGACAGACAGAGGTATATTGAAGGACGACTATGTTGCAATTGTGGTGGGGATCATGAGGCCGACTTCCTGGAGTGCCCTGTAAGGGTGAAGGAGATTGAGGTGGCATAAGTTAGAGCGGTCAATCGAATCTCCTATGCGGAGGCATTCAAATAATTGAGAAAACAAATGTAGATGTGGGAGTGTTAAAAAGGTGGATTTTTGTGGCGTTCATTGCCATAGTTATAAACTGTACAGTAGGTGGCGGAATGCACATTAAATTGTGTGATCGCCAATATACCATAGAAGAGGTATTCGGGGGTGGGGGATCGGTCCCCTCTGCAAGTTTCCATGTCTTGTCTGTTTGTTGGGATCGCACTGGACCAGCGTCTGCGGGACACAAATTCTTACTGCTGAATTCGATTGAGGATGTGGGTGGCTGCGCTGACGACGAACTGGGGCTGTGGAGCTGAGTGGTGATCCGAGAGCAGAGGACCGAAAGAGGCATTGGTACAACGCACATTTACATTTGTACATTTTAGTCATTTAGCAGACGCTCTTATCCAGAGCTACTTACAGTGAGTGCATACATTTTTCATACTGGCCCCCCGTGGGAATCGAACCTAGCTACAGGAGGCCCTAGGAGCTTTAGCTCCGGCAAGTAATGGACGTGATTCTTCCCGTGTTCCCCTTACACAGCTCTTTCTCTCTCTGGGCCGTTTTGCCACGCCACTGAAAGCCACTATTATCGGCAGCTTTCCCTGACCAGTGTTGCCAACTCTTCAGTAAGGAAAGTAGCTATTGGCTGTCCTAAAAGTCGCTAAATGATGTCATCACCTAATTTGCATAATTGGCCATGTGCATGTAATTGTGATGGATGCTGTAGGAGAGAGGAATAACGTTGTGGAGAGAGAGACAAAAAGTGAGTAAAAAACACCCTACATTTACATCCCGCCCTGAATGTAAGCCAGGACGGGATCAGCCAGCGGCGGCTTCCCGCATGCGCAATTCATTTGCAGTCTGGACGCGGAGGGGTGAACATCTCCTGCTCTGACTGCAGCTGGGAGGGACTGCTGCGCGAAGCCTGTGAGTGCTTTGGGACGGGGCTGGGGCCCACAGATGGCAGCACCCGCTGCTCATTGAGAAGAGTAAGAACGATACGTGCTTTGACGTCAGAGTCTCCAAAAGTCTCCAATAACACCAGAAAAATAAGCTAGATTTGTCGCTAGTTGCTTTTTTGAAAATGTGTCGCTAGAGGGGTCTGAAAACTCGCTAAATTTAGCGACAAAGTCGCTAAGTTGGCAACACTGTCCCTGACGTCTGTTTTCCTCTTGTTTGGCACCACAGGGGGGGCCATCGCTGACGTCTACAAGCAGAGTCTCAGACCGGGTGCGTTCCAGGACAGG